AGGTCGGCGCGCGTGGATGCGGTCGAATTGGTGGTGTCGGTGAGAGCCATGCTGATCGCGGTGGTGGGACGCCTAGGGCAGTCCAAGATAACAATACTCCGCCCGGGGCCGGTTTGGCAGACCGCAAGGTAAATGTTGGCTGGCTGGCTGGCTCGGTCGCTGGCAGCCACCCATTTCTTCAATGTAGACGTTGCATGTGCAAATCTTGCGATTTTCGCGCGGGAATCATGTCAAAATCTAATTAGGCGCCCGGAGTGGCCGCCGGGGGTGACGGAAGCGCGAGCGCCGACGCGCGTGGCCGGCGGCCAGCCGGTCGCCGCAGCCGCCCCACGACGGCGCGGCGCGCCGTAGGCGCGCGTTGTAGAGGTTGTAGCGAGGGGTCGTTTCGTGGACTGGACGTCCCTGGCTGGCTGGCTGGGTCGGCCCCGGGCGGCTGGCTGCGGTCTTGGCCTGCCCTTGGGGACGCTGCGCTTGGAAGCGCAAGTTCGAGCTGCGGCCAACTGTGGCCGCTGGGATTAGCCCCGCCGAAGTATTCAAGTAAAGGCCAAGTTCAGTGCACTTGCAGAGGCTTCTTGATCGACATCAGAAGCGATCGGATGGCGCATCGCGGACTCGTGGTGCTCGCGCCGCTGCTGGCCGCCGCCACGAACCCGCTGGTGCCGCACACGGGCATGGCGGACCCCCACGTGCACGTCTTCAACGGCACGCTCTACATGTACAGCACCCACGATCTCATCGAGCAGGGGGCGTCGGGCTGCTGCGGCGGCGACTGGTGGATCTGGACCGCGCCCTACCCCGGCGGCCCCTGGACGAACGTGTCGAGCCAGGGCCTGCCGGCCTGGACGCCCGAGTCGCTCAAGGAGACGAACAGCCTGTGGGCGACGGACGCCGCGGAGCACAAGGGCAGGTACTACTGGTACGTGTCCATCGGCGGCAAACAGATCGCCGTCTTCGAGGCCGACGCCCCGACGGGCCCCTGGCGGGACCCGCTCGGCGACTTCCTCCTCGCCAACGGCTCCTCCCTCAGCCCGCCGACGAACATCCGGGACCCGGGCGTGCTCCGCGACGACGACGGGCGCCACTATATCGTCTTCGGCGCCTGCGACGGCGCGAACCAGCCCGACGA